TCCCTCATCATTATACAGGGGTGATGATACTGATTTATAGGCTTGCCTTGACAAAGGGATTGTTTTACAGAATAATTGGTGGGTCTTGGTTGGGTGTTCCCTGTGCTTCATGCCTTACATGACAAACTGATGTCATGTATAATATGTATTATACATATTTTACTTCATTTGTGATTGTTATGTGGCTACTTTTATTCTAAATAAAACTGTAATCAGTTTCAATGTGTTTGATGTTCTCTGAAACAAATGATTTGCAAATGGTTTTCTTCAGTGCCATTTTTACTGCTGCATAACTGGCATCTTAATCTGTTTTATCGGAGGCATGTGATATACTACAGTTATTTCTTGATAAGAATAGCTCTCACTGAGCTCGCATTTTCGCCTGTGCGTAAGGGTGTGTTATTGTGTATTTGTTTCATTTGTGTATAATTGTAGAGTTATTATAATAGTCTCCTGCTCATGGTATGCATCCTAGTTGGATTCACTATCCAGAGGTCAGGTTGCAGTCTGGTTATTACAATTATAAATCTAGTGGAAAGAGTTCACATCAGCTATGTATTAAAGGGATAGCTCAACTTAAAAAAACAAAACACTATACACAATAATATCACCATAACCTGATCAAAAAAGCGGGCTGGGGGCGGGGCTGGGGGCGGGGCTGGGGGCGGGCAGAGGGAATGCCTCACCCAGCATGGAACGTACTGCACGTCACTGCTGCACATGTGCAGTGCACTCTCTCTCCTAATGGCTTAGCTTAGATGAGCTCATCTGGGCCGACCGGAGAAAGAAAGAGCGCACTGCGCATGTGCTCTAATTAGCTCATCTGAGCCAACCGGGGAGAGAGAGCACACTGCGCATGTGCTCTGATTAGCTCATCTGAGCCGTCCGGATTGAGAGAGAGAGCAAACTGCCTATGTGCTCTGATTAGGTCATTTGAGCCAATTGGAGAATGGAAGAGCACACTGTGTCTGTGTTCTGATTAGCTCAACCGAGTCAACCGAAGAGAGGAAGAGCACACTGCGTATGTGTTCTGACTCACTCATCAGAGCCAACTGGAGAGAGGAAGAGCGCACTGCGTATGTGTTCTGACTAACTCATCCGAGCCAACTGGAGAGAGGAAGAGCGCACTGCATATGTGCTCTGATTAGCTCATCCGAGCCAACCGAAGAGAGAGGAAAGGCGCAATGCATATGTGCTCTGATAAGCTAACCAGAGCCAACCGGAGTGAGGTAGAGCACACTGCGCAAGTGCTAGGATGAGCTCATCCAAGCTGTCAGGAGAGAGAAAGAGCGCTCTTGTGCGGGCCTTGGGAAAGGGACGGTGCTTACTCATGTAGCACTAGGGAGCACTCATCCTAACAGCTGGTAAATCCTAGGAGCCTTTGCATATAGTGACTGCATAGAGAGTTTTTTTTAAAGATGAACTAACCCTTAAACATTAATTTGAACTCAAGAAATGAAGATCTATGTTGTAGGAAAGATTTAAGCAATTAACATTTATGTGAATCATGACGAATCAGTACAAAAAAAAACCTACGCTTTGTCTTATATTCCTCCTGAAAAATAGCAGTGCACTTCCTGGTATGTGAGGGTGCTTAGGCACTCCTGTGCCCACAGCTTCAAAGCAGTATATCTGCAGTGTGAGATCTGGGCCCATTTCCACCAGATGCATTTGACTGCGTTAGGCAAGACTGTCCCAATGTATAGACAAGCCAATTTGCCTTGTTTAGTATTAAGTCAGTTCACGCCACTGCCTTGCCGGGTTTTTTTTTAAAGTAGAGTGTTACACCGTATTATACCTTTTTGCAACGGGCTGTGTTGAAGTAAAAAAAATTTCACTTTGTGACATTTCAGTACAGTTCAAACAAAAGATAAAAAGTAAACAGTGCAATGCTCTGAAATCAGTGCCCTGCACCTCTTCCATCAACACACACACACCAGCAGGGGTGTGCTAGTGCGTGCTCCTGGTGTGAATGAAGTTTGGGGTGAAATTTGGTGAGGTCACTACTGCACTGATCATTGCTGGAGGCTCTGTCATGAAGATGCAAAACCTTGCCTCTGCCAAGATGGCGCCTCCACATAGGGACATGGTGGAAAACAAGGCATGGTAAGTCTGCAAAAGAAAGATTGCATGCACGTAGAACACAGGCAATATTGGTGACTAGCCCCTTGCCCTCTGTCTGCCTATTTGGGCACAGCAGAGTTCATTTCAGTTTAGGATGTCTGCCTGGAGTTCTCCCAAACATTAATGTTTCTGTTGTTAATTTTCACAAGAATAGCACCAAACCCCAGAATGAAAAATGTTATGAGGATCATGACTGAACAATAACAGAGAGGTTCTAATTAACATTCCACTAATTCCACTTGCTAAGTCTTAAGGCAAGCCATACACTGGTACAATTTTACCAGATTCACAAGAAAAGGGGAGAGAGGCTCCAGGGACCGGTCTAAGGCCCCATTCACACCTAGGCGTATTGTAATATGCGCGTCTGTCGCGCGACCGTCGCGCGGTTTTTTTACAGCGATTCGCGGTAAGAAAGTTGCACGACCGTCGCGCGATTCCAAAGGCTACTTGGCTGTATCCCAATGGAAAACGCCCTACAAAACGGCCCAAAGTAGTCCTGGGACCTTTTCAGGCGTGGTCCGTTTTGTAGGGCGTTAGGGATGGGCGGAAATACGGCAAGGTGGGAACGAGGGCATTGACTACAATGCAATTTATATTTTTGACCGTTTTGTAGAGCGTTCGTCGAGCGTAGAACGTCCTACAAAACGGTCAGGTGTGAACGAGGCCTTAGAGCGCCTACTGTAGACAAAAATGAGCACTTAACCCTTGCAGTGCAGGAGTAGCCCCACTGCAAAAGTTAAGAACAGTTTTGCCTTTAAGTCTTTTAGACCTGCACAAAAACATGAATACTCATATCTTATAAGGGCAAGTGTGTTCTGTAAGCACAATGATATGAGATCATGGTGATTATTGAGTGGTCAGAGGAGAGAACAAAAACCCATCAACCAAAACTTTTCAGGGTTATAATATCTATGGGAACTTAAAAGTGTGAAATAGTGATAGATAGATAGATAGATAGATAGATAGATAGATAGATAGAGTGGCATCACAAGGGGGGTGCGGCCCTCACCGGGTGACACCATTAGAGTATCATGGCATACCTTATCCCGCCGAAAAAAACGTCTCCTCCTCTCTCTGCCGGCGTCCATCACCGAGACGGCACGTGACATTATTATGCGCGTGTGATGATGTCACGCACATGCATAATGATGTCACATGCGTGTGTGATGGCGTCCCGGCGGGTGACACCCAGCTGCCGCACCGGTTGCACCCTGCCTAGGGACGCCTCTGGATAGATAGATAGATAGATAGATAGATAGATAGATAGATAGATAGATAGATAGATAGATATTTTACATGACCATAAACTGCTGCCATTATTACATGTGATTAATATCATAATGATAACACATCTGTGTAAATAGCAGCCATAATACTAATCCTGGAACGTTCACACTAAAGATCTTTTTTACTGCTAGAATCTTCTATACATATTACCGATAGAGGCGATTTACGTCAAGCCCACCCTGACACCAGATCAGATTTGGATGGGATAGGATGGGATAGGAATTTTAAGGGCACACGGTTTGTTTTTAGCAGGCCTCTCTGGCAATGGTACAGTTAACATGCCATTGAGCACATGTCTTTTTTTTCCAGTCCAGTACAATCTATCCTTTTCAGAGTGTGACAAAGAATGTGCTTACACCTTTCACTGTACAGGAATCCCATCAATACAGATTTTCCTAGTGCCCCCTGTCAAGAACAGGGTCATGAGGACCGTGGCATCGCATAACGCTTCAGCAGGAAACGCTTGAAATGTTTTTTGTTGGTTTTTATGTCCAAAGCAACTGTGCTGGAACACATAACATCCTCTGTGATATATGGAAAGAAGCAACATATTCTGACAATAAAAAAAAAAAAACATTATAAGAAGGGAGACTGAGAGCTGGAGCTATTGCAGGGATGCTGCATGTAAATACTCTCCAGTCCATACAAGTGGCACACTGTGACAGCTGCATTGTATCATACCAACACTGAACTACTGGACCCAAAGAGATGACTCCTATCAGAAATGACACAACAGCCTTGTCCTATTCACAGAAATAGATACTAGTGCTGATCAAATAGATAGTACTGCTAATGCACCATATGCTACAAGAGGGGGTGTGAAGACAATACACAGATTGTTACTTGTCAAGATGGAGAAGGTGGATCATTGACTTTACAAGCATGCCACTGATACAAGAAGCTTGCACTTCCTTTCTGGTTAGGAAAGTAACTGCAGGCATCATTTCTTTATTGCACTTTTTTTTAAATCTTGACAGAAAGCTGTCAGAGGCTCCATCGGGACACACACAGCCCTGACTGTAGATGATCTGCATTGCTTCCCCTCTCCAGCAATTCATAGACCCCCCCCCCCCCAAACAAACCCTG